GCAGGCTCACGTTTGGAGCATCAACTAAGGGGGAATGGAACAAAAAGCCATCTCAAAGAGGAAGGAAAGAGGATGTCAAAAGCAAAGAAGAGGATGAGAAATGAGGATCATGACTCATCAAACTCAGCAGTTGATACAGAGGAACCTGCTGCCACAACAACTGAAAGCCATAATCATTGGAGAATGAGAAGAACAACTAGCTCAAACTGCTAAAAATCAGATACCAATTCAAAAAGGTACGATATTGATCCACAAAACTCAGCAGTAGACCCATATATGGATTGAAACTAGAATGCTACTATTCTGTAGAAACTTATTTTTATTAGGAATGTCTTGCATCTGCATCGTCCTAATGAAATAAAGATTATCTACAGTTTTTAGTAAGTATCATATTTTTATTGATTACTGTCAAAATTAGCCATAAACGAGCTAGAATAGTATCCTAGAACTATCCATTTCTGAGCATGCAAAAGGAAGTGTCAGAATCATCTAAAAGCAGAAAGAATTTATTGTTACATGCAACATGCATGAATAACATCTGGCAATCGAAAAATGATCACTCATCTTCCTCATAAATGATGCTCTGAGAAAATACTTGATCAATCCTCTCTCACCCTCTTATCAAGACACTCTGTCTTAAAAGAAGAACCAGCCGCTGAAACATTAATGAAGACTTTAACATACTTCGATTCTCACCACATCGAAATATGAAGAGGCCGCACACTTCATTTAAATACCTCCACTCCATGAACAAACCTCCAGTTCGAATTAATCCTCCTTCTATCTACTCCAAACTCTCCTTCGGTAAAATTCATAATGAATCCCTCTTTCAACTCCCTGTCTCTCGAACTTTCACTAGCACCACCACAGTCCAACAATGGTTATCAGGCAGCACCACACCCTGATGTCAACCAACCTTATGCCCTAACTCGAATACAAGAGGAAAGCCTTGCATACATAGAGCTTCAAGCTCTGATTGGAGCGGAAAAGGAACAGCTACTGCAAGAACGACTTCGGGTGCTGGAATGGAGAAAGTGGAGATTATCAGACATTGATACTCTCATTCTCAACAGATCACGAATGATAGGAGAAGAAACGTTCTCTCTAAAATGGATGATGACACAAGACATTGAGGCATCACTCTCAATCCACAACATCAACAATGTCTTCCATTTCAAACTTGCTCAAGTCATTGAGAACAACACACAGAGACAAGCAACAAGAGGCCTCTTCCCTGGGGAACCATCAAGCAGAAGAAGAAGGATTGAGTGATTGGTGAATGCTACCAAAAGAGGGGGAAAGAGAGTAGGAAAACACTCTAGGTTCATCTTTTGTATTTTATAAAGTGTTTTCAAACTCTTCTTTTGGCATCATCACAAAAGGGGGAAATTGTTAGACCCTAGATTCTGATAGATTTTGATGATGCCTTTGTTTTGATATCTCCCATCTTTTGTAGCATTCAATTATTATGTATACTGGTAGTTGGCTGTACTAATTATCTGAAAGTGTCCTGCTCAAATTAAAAATTAACAAATAAATATAACTGGAAAACATAAAATGCAATAAGGTAATACTTTATTACCTTAAAAGGATCTCTTATAGATTCTACCAGTTAAATTTATTTGTTACATCAAATGACACAAAAATATTTCGAACAGCTACACTATTTATTTAACTGGAATACAAAATGCAATAAGGTAATAATTTTTACCTTAATAGGATTTGTTATCCTACCAGTTAAAAATTTAGTTTATGTTCGAAATACTTGATGGGCCATACACAACCAAGTGTGACCAGAAGTCAAAAGAAAAATGTTTGTATCAAGTAAATTATACCGGAAAAATAAAAATGCAATAAGGTAATTTTTACCTTAAAAAGGATATTTAAATCCTACCGGTATATATTTACTTTATCACAAACATTTTAATTTTGTCACAAAAACGAAAGGCACATTGGTATGAAATATACATGTGTCTAATTGAGAACAAATAGATGTATAATTTTTAAGACTAATAAAATTAATACTGGAAATTAAAAAATGCAATAAGGTAAATCTATTTACCTTAATAGGATATTTAAATCCTACCAGTATAAATTTTATTAGACACAAAAATTAACTGTTCGAGTGTTTGTCTCGTGATTATCCGGAGCCAATCAAAAATCCCGGCATGGAGAGCCAAGACGTACAGTATGGGATGCACAGTCAACTTGAAATGAAAAAGCTACAGCGGCTAGGCAAACAAGACAAAAAGAACCCATCAGCTCTGAAGAAGAAAATAAACAACAAGTTGTTTATCTTCTGCGATCAAGATTCAACGTTCATGATTAAATCATCTCAACCAACGGATGATATTAATCAACCAGAGATGCCTATAAATAAAGGCCGAAGCATGAGTTAAATAATCAAGTCATTGAGTTCAAAGCAAGTTGTTCAGTCATTACACTACGAATATCCAGCAAAAGAAAAAGTGCTTGAACACTCTGCTTTGACTCATGCTTCACTAAGCTCTTAGATTAGATCATTCATTGTAACATTTATAGAGCTTAGGTTTTAGTTGGAGGTTAGAAACTTCGTGAATCAAATCATGTTGTTGTAAACACTTAGGAGAACAGTTGTTCGGATCCTATAGTGTGGTTAGATAGATAGAGTACCTTTTGATCCCCACTGGATCAATTGAGAAAAGTCTAAGGAATGAGTAACTTTGAGTGGTGTTATACTCATTGTGAAAAACCTTCAATCTAGGCCAGAGTTGTCAAGGCTAGATTGGCACTAAATGTATTGGGCTGAATACTTTAGTGGAAATCCATTTGAAATAGAATGGGACTGGATGTAGGAGGATTACACCACCTCTGAACCAGGATACATGGTGTGTTGATTTACTTTCATACATACAGAACACACACCAAACACATCTCACTAAAGGTTTGTAGTTTGTCAGCAGCATCCTAAGCAGTAGTCTTCATCGACTCTACTGCTTCGCCTACTGCTTAATAACTCACTCTCCTTGAGAGTGTTTTCCACTAGAAGTTGTCTTAAACTCAGAAGGTAACTCAGCAGTACACTGGTCTTCACCCTCCTGCTGAGCCCACTGCCCATCCAAACGTGTCTTTCCAAACCCCATAACAAGCCAGAACAAAAAGCCATCCAAGAGTCATCCTAGTCCTCAGCAGTTGCTTCAGCAGTAACCTGCCTACCAGCCAACTGCCAACTCAGCAGTTGCCTGCCAGTCAGCAAACTGCCTGTGCAGCAGTAGCCTAAGCAGTTACCTGCTCACCAGCCTACTGCCAAGCCTACTTCCTCTCGTAACCAGTCTAAACATCATCTAAACTAGAAAGTTATCTCACACTAAGTATAAAGAGGTTAAAGACTTCCGCTGTGCATCTATTGATCTCTCAAAAGATTATAGATCAACTCATCTAGAGGGAAAACTTCATAAAGTTGAAAAAGATTTAAAAGTCTATTCACCCCCCCCCCCCCCCCCTCTAGACTTTTACCTCTATCCGGGACCTTCAGAATCGTGAAGAGGAGAGAGCCAGCGTCGATGAAGTTTGATGCGCAAGGGAGTTTAAAAGAAAGGGCACTTTGGTCAAGTTAGATGTACTTAGGTCTTACGTAAAGATGTAGTCTTAATTTTAGAAAAGTAGCAAGATTATGTCCTACTTGTTGAAATCTCCCATATAGATAACTTCTAAATTATTTAAATTTCTTAAAACAATTTTCTTTTTGTCAAGGATGGAACAAGGTTGTGATAGAAATAGACGCCCAGCAAGTTACAACAAAACTGGATGAACATTCAAGAGACTCATATTTTGACATTATCATGGGTAATATTAGACACATTCTTCGTAATGAAGCTAGGCATATTATCCAGCATTGCAAACGATCTGCCAATCCTGACTCATAAGATTGCTAGGGAAGCATTATTCAAGACGTTTTGTGGTTACTTTGATGGTAGCTTGAGTTATGTTTCGAGCCAATTAGCGAACGATTGTTTGAATTAATATGTATTGATTTTTTTCCTTTCAAAAAATCATTATCCTTTTTACACAAGCAATATACGAATATTTACAAAAAGTTATAATAATGTGTACAAATAGTATGACCTGATATGTTTTGTTCTAATATGGTATGATCTGATATGAGATTCAAATCATTCCAATTAAAAATATGAGATTAAAAAAGTGAGAATAAAGGGATGGGGAAAAGACTTGTGTAATTGTGGTTGAATAAGAAAAAAGTAAATGAATATTAGTCGTACAAAACTTTCCAAAAAATGAAATTGAAATAATTTTTTGGAACGTACAACTAATTTTGTTATCAAAGTATTTTTAAGATAGAGAATTTTCGTGTAATTTTCATATTTGAAATAATTTGGTATTGAAAAATATGACTACTTATTAATCATACTCTCTCGGTTCCTAATAACTTTGTCAAGTTTGATCGTCACGGAGATTAATAAAGAAAAAATTGTGTGTGTAGGAGAATGAATTAACTGAAACCACAAATTCTTTACTTAAATAGGAAAATAACAAAGTTAATGAGATATACAAAAAAGGAAAGTTGGCAAAGTCATAAGGCACGGAGGGAGTATTATTTAATTTGTACTAGTATATATTTGGATCTAGTCGGTGTATTTGTATAACGGCTACTATACGTAATGTTACTCCCTCCGTCCCAATTTGTTTTGCAAAGTCAACATTTTTCAGTCAACCAATAATAAAAGTCAATCCTCCCTATTGATAATTAATTCAATTTTTAATAATTAAAATTTACATATTCATAACCTACATTAAAATCTCTTCAAAGTTGTAAACTCCAAATTAGAATATAATTAAAATTGATATCTAATTCAAGCGAACAAAACAAAACCATTTGATCAAGAAAAGTCAAATATGAAAATCATTTAAACGAGTATTTAATTTTGGTAGGGATGTACTTGTAGCTAGTAATTTAGATGCTATAAATACCCCCACACTTCCCCTTTCAGTTGCAAATCATAAATTAATCATATAAGCCTGCCCAAGCTTCCAGCTTAACCACAATATTCTCCGCCGACCGCAAAACAAACAAACAAACATGATGACTTTTCGGAGCTGCGGCCACTTTGTCTGTGATGAGGATGAAAAGTTGTCGCCGCCGCATTTGTGTCATCGGGAGTCAGGCTCTGACGGCGATGACGCCACCATGTACGACGAACTGGATTCCCCCAAACAATCGTCCACCATTTCTTCCGACGACGCTTCGGAGATCATTGGCGGCGGGTGGAGCTTTCTTGTGGAGGAGCTGCAGGCGAACAATAAGGTCGAGGCGGCGGGGGAAGTCGCGAACGCTCCACCGCCGCCTCGCCGTATGAAGCGCTCCTTGTCCACACTGAGTTCCAAAAGCCTGAACATGTGCACTGAGGGCTTGGGCTGTGAAACCGGCTTCGGTATTACCCAAAGCATTGACGACTTGCTGGGCAATCCCGCTCCGGCGCCGGCGCAAGAGGGTGTTTTCGCACCACCGCCGATTAATCCGGCCGGGAGGCCGCCGGTGATGATTGCGAGGAAGAAGTTCAACAGAACCAAGAGCTTCCCGCCTCCTCTAAGTTCTGCCAAAGATCAGCAGGCCAGGCGCGAGGATGGGGTGAAGATGTTGCTGCGTCGTCGGGAAGGCGGCCGGTTGGTGGTAACCGCCGTGTGCGTAACCCGACCTGACTCTTTCTTCCGAGAAAACAGGTCGGACGGGAGGCTTAGGCTGTCCTTCAAAATGGGTGCGGCGGATGACGACGTTTGTGAAGAGTCAGTTGAGGATTGATTAATTAAGTGCAGTGACGGTGGCTAGCTTATATGACCATGATAATGATGGAAGAAAGGTTGCACAAAATTAAGTTTGGAAAATTCGCAAGATAAAAGTAAATAAGTTTGAAAATTTTAAAATAAGATCGTCATATTTTTATTCTCAAAATATGAATAATTACTGTCAAGTCTGATTTTATCAAAATATGACAGCAATTGGTCTCGTGTTTGGAATAAAAACATGACATTCATATTTCAACATTTTTAGTCCTATTTTAAATAATTTTCGAAAGTTAATGGTTTTAATTTGTTGCTTCATCTCAAGTTATCAACTATAAAATTAAATGTCGTTTTCTTGCTTGTTATTAAGAGTAGTAGCTTTCCGACAATATATACTTCACTTTTTCCTTCTTGCTTTAATAAATGTAATCCCCCACACTTCTAATACTACTAGTACTCCGTATATCCTTTACTCCCTCCGTCCCTAAATGTTGTTCCAATTGCGGTTTACGAGGTTGACCGACGATAAAGTTAAATGATCCCTGTGAAAACTCGGATTATTTTTAGTAAATAAAATTTACATATTCAGAAACTACATTAAACCCGCTACAAAGCCTGCAAAAAATAATCCAACTTTTATAAAATTTTGATATAAAAAGTAAGAGATTAAGAGTGATTTAAGTTGACCAAGGAATAGTGAAATGGAACTTCTTTTAGGGACAGAGGGAGTATTTCAGTTTGGCTAAAGGGTCAAATAAGTACATGAACTAACTTAAAGTGTTCAATTAGCCCCTTATATAGGAGGTTCTGCCCGGCCGTCGCCAATTGGGGCGGTTCTCGGTGGAATTTTTTGATGAAATATTTTGAGCATCTTCTTCATTAAGTCTAGTTTACCAATACCAAATTTCAGCTAAAAATTCAACCGAGAAGGCAGTCAAATGATTTTTTGAAGATACCTGCGCAGTTAAACAACACAATACATTTTGAAAAATCATTTGACTGCCTTCCTGATTTAATTTTTAGCTGAAATTTGATACGGGTAAACTAGACTTAATGAAGAAGATGCTCAAAAACTTTTATCAAAAAATTCAACCGGGAACCGCCCCAATTGGCGACGGCCTGGCAGAACCTCCTATATAAGCGGTTAATTGAACACTTTAAGTTAGTTCATGTACCTATTTGACCCTTTACCCTTTCAGTTTCCGCATGACACATCCTTAGCTCCTTTCCCACATCAACTAAAGTTTCAGCCCTTTGGTAAAACTATAGTTGAACGGATCAAGTTAGCTGAATTATTAAAATAACTACATTCAAAATTTATTATAATAATAATAAAATTAAGAAAAGTTATACTCCCCGTATGAAAGATAGCTGGAATTTGCTCCCTTAGTATATTCAACCAAAAAAGTAATCAAAACGTAGGGTAAATGCATAAATGGTACCTCAACTATGGGTAATATAGCATTTTGGTACCTTAACTCTTAAATGAATCAAAATGGTACCATAACTATACACAAATGTTTCGAATTGAGATTTTATTCAAATTTTCGACCAAAATATTACACGTGGCGGTCAGAATTCTATGCGTATAGTCTATTTCAACTTATTTTTGACCATATGATCACTATAGGGTGACTCTACACATGAAATTTTGATCGTTATGAATGACTTTTTTGTTAAAAATTTGAATAAAATCTCAATTTGAAACATTTACGTATAGTTAAGGTACCGTTTTGATTCATTTAAGAGTTAAGGTACCAAAATGCAACATTACCAATAGTTGAGGTACCATTTATGCATTTGACCCTCAAAACGTAACTTATTTTATTTGTTTGATAAAAAAAATTGTGTTTGATAAAAAAAAGTTGATAGATGGACAAATAAGCCGGGAAATAGGGATTACCAAACGAGGATTCTTGTCTAAGTCTTTCGTTTTTATTATTCAATTTACCATTTTACAAAGAGGGAAACCATTCAAAATAGGAGTATTTCTATATAAGGGCATTTTAGAAAAAATAAATAAAACAAATTAAACATATAAGGGCATTTTAGATAAAGGTTCTAAAGTTTAATTAGCTTATCACCAATTACATTTTTTAAGTTTTGCAATTTAAGCCCATGGAGTTAATACTCCGTTCTATCACAAAGTACATAGAAGAGTGTCCCCTTATCACAAAGTAATTCAGCGCACGAAATCAAAAATTATGTGTTTGATGAAAAAGTTGACTCATAAACATGATAATCCGAAAAACAGGATCACCTAACAGACTAAACTTTATATACTCTAAATATACGATTCATTTGAAGGGATCTGTCCCCACTTATTGAGGGCCCGATCAAAATCAGCTAATGATTGCTGAAGTAGAAAGAGGCTGTTTGGCAACACTGTTTTTCGGCTTATCAGGCTTATCAACCAATTTTTTCACTAAACACGTAACTTTTGCTTTCGCGCGTTGAATTGTGTAATAAGGAGAAAAAGTAAGGCTGGAGTTACTTTTCTAGCTATATTGGTTGAAGTTACTGTAAATGACCACTTTAGCTATTTTTACATATAATTTTTTCTTTATTTTATTAATAAAATATATTTTAATTTTTTTTCTTCTGAAATCAGCAGAATCAGTCAATGCAGCCACTTCAGCCAGAACTTCATAAATTTCAGCAGAATCAACCAAAACAGTCGATTTTGGTGCTACCAAACGGGCTCAAAATAAAAAAACATCATCAATTTGCTCCAGCTTGCTCAATCGGGAGAACTTGAAATCAATTTTATTCACCCTCTATTGGCAATTAATTATAATATTGCAATTGTTTTAAGTTTTTATTTTTAATCCAAAATTTTCAAAAAAGTATCATTTTTTTTTTACTTTTTACGCTCTTTAATATGATGTCAATATTGCACATGATTTTTTTTTTTAAAATCTAGCTAAAATAGATATTTAGAGAAAAAGATATATGTAGTACATTTTTTCAATATTTTTATATATAATATTGATATCGTGGGAAAGATCATAAATATTTATTATATCTGATATATTATTTTATAAAATTTGGAGTATAAATAAAAAATTTATAACAATTTAAAGAAAAAAAGAAATTTAATGCCACATGACAACAAGTGAGAGATGGGGTAACGTTCACCCTCCTTAGAGGGGTGAACAAAATAGCATTTGGAGAACTTCCTATTTCATCTAGCTAGCCAGCTAGCAGGTATGTTTTTTAGTCTAACCATAAGATTCTCCTAAGTAAAGGTAAATCTAAACATAATTATACAAATAAGATTCTATTCGGGTAACTAGAATTACTCTCTTTAGTAATTTAGTAAATTCAACCATAAAAATAACCAAAACTTTACTTATTTTGTTTGTTATACAATAGTGCACACGAAATGAAAAGTTGTGTGTTTGGATAAATGTTTTAAAGTTTGATATTTTGATGAGCTTATCACCGATTACAACTTTTTTTAATTTTTGGAGTTTCTGACCACGGAGTTAAATGAGAATGGGGCACTATTATATGTATTTTTTGATCAAATGGAACGCAGGGCAGGTCCTGAGAAATGAAAGTCCTCTACACCAGGGGCGGATGTATGGTCATTGTATTGGGGGCACATGCCCCCAATGGCTTGTCACTATATTTTAAGAAAGTGCAATTAACATTTTGTATTTAAAGGTTTTGCCCCCAATAAAAATTAAGAAGTGCCCCCAATAATTTTTTATGCAAATATATTGCACAACTTTTACAAATTAGTGCCAGTCATTTTTATACTATCGTACATTTTATTCTTAAGCAACTAAATAACTAAAAGTAAGATAAAATCGAAAAGATTAGATCACAATTGTGTTCTCTACGTGATACTTTAATTGTTTATAGAATAATCCTAAAAGTTTTCTTAACTGCCTAATAAGTCAGTAGCTATGTAAAAGTAGATGTACTTTATACATTTCGAATGAAGTCCACACTTACTTTAAAAAAAATGAATTCGTCAAGAAATCAAGATATAAGGCTCACTCTCTTCCTAAACAAATTTTCGCTTTAATTGTGCACGGAGATTAAAAAATAATGCCTCATGAAAGGAGTAGAAGACAAAAAAACTATGAATTTATCTTCTAAGAGTGAATGAGTTTATAAGGGATAAATAACAATAGTTGAAAAAAAAAATTCATTAAAAGTTAGTAGATGATACTGATGAGTTGTTAGAGATAAAAGTACCCATACAAATTGCATTTTTAATATTGATTTTTTTGAATTCAATGTAAGATAAATTTAGATTTGATGAAAGCGGAAACTGCGAAGACTAGTTAGGAACTTAAGAATATAGGAAGTGTTTTATCAGATTATATAACATTATAGCATTATTTGAACTAAATTTGTGTTTACAATAAAAAATTAAATATATGTTTATTAATCATATTTTACATTTCCTTATACTTTACTATTTAATCATATTGGGTAGCAAGTAGGGGTGGACACAGGTTTGGAACGGTTCGGATTATGGTTATCCCGGTCCCGATTCGATAATCATACAAACGGGGCAATGGGATGGGACAGGATGGGACAACGTTTTAATTGTACAAATGAAATAAGTACTCCATACAATTTTGGGATATTTTGGAATGGGACAACGGGATCGTGATTTTTCCCCAACTCTAGTAGTCAGTGCCCCCAATAACGAAAAAATCCTAAATCCGCCCTTGCTCTACACTATTATAAATTTTAAGTCAAAATCCAGTTTAAATTTTGGGCGAAATCATGAAAGACTATAATAATATAATTATAAATTATAAACCTAAACGACTAAAGTTAGCCAATAACATACTTAAATCTTATACCAATTTCTTAAATCCTAATCTACTTACTTAATAATAAAGTACAACCTTCTAATTGAAATTGAATTTTCTTTTAATTGCTATTGAATCCAATTAGTGAATATTTATTAATTGCAATTAAATCCTAAATTCATTGTATTTACTCAATTGATTACAATTGAGTCCCAATAATGAATATTCATTAAATCAATTGCAATTAAGTCCTAATTAAATTCATAACATTTTATATATATTACGGAGGAGAAAAGTTCACCACCGGAATTCCGAAGGAGAACCGTCCCGCCATCTAGCCGCCGCGGTTTGAGGATGTTTTAGGTGGTTTTTTTGTTTTTTCTTGAATATATTCTTCATGAGATTTAGAGTATGTTCACAAAATTTCACTTTAAAATTCGATTGAGAAGTCAATTAGACAAATAATTGAAAATACAACATTTTATATATAAATAAATATTTTGGCGCAGTGTTTTTTCAATAACTTTTTTTATTGACTTTCGGATCGGATTCTAAGCTGAAAGTGTAGATATAATCTAAACTTCATATACAATATGTCACGAAAAAACACTAGGAACTATCTCAAATCATGGCGGTC